CCTACTCCAATTTTACATGTATTTTTACTTTAGAATTAAACTTTATTTACCCCTTTTTTCTCTTAAGAGGTTCGACAACATGATTTGTTTTTAAAAATAAAACAGCTATTACATCAAAAATAAATAAAACCAACCATGTTGTCAAATACCCCCTTTGTGGTAGGTCAACCATGTGTCTAAAGGAGAAGGCCTCTTCTCTAAGTCTGCCTTTGGTTTGAAGGAAAAATAAGGAAAGGAAGGAAAATGTAGGAAAATCTTTATAAACCTTGTATGGGTTTTTCTTCCATTCCCTTCAAACCAAACATAGTGTAAAGATTTTACTTTAATTTATACACTATTAAGGTGCAGATGCATGGATATACAATGACTACATGAAAAACAAAATAAAAATAGAAATAAAAGAGAAAAAAAATAAAAAGGATAGGGACAAACTCCTAATTCAAGTGTAAAAAACTAAATTTTACAGTTTTTTTTTAATAAAATCATTAAAAATCATATAGCTACAAGCTGTCAACTGGCTGGTTGGTAAGTCTCCTTTGGGATCAAAGTCCGCTTGTACCATGGTTGGGGATTTATGGGCAGGGGTGGAGCAAAAAAAAAAAAAACAACATAAAGTCATAATCCTCAAGTACTATAATATTATAATACAGATATTAATTTCTACTCCAAAGTATTCTATGCGGGTGCAAATAGGTTGGGTTGACGTTGGCCCTAACATAACTCTTTTTTTCTTTTTCCTTTTTTTTTTTTTTTGAGACCCCTGTATTTATGTGGGTGGAGGGATGGCCACCTTAATATTTTATTAATCAACCACTATCAAAGGGGAAGATGTAATTCGCCTTACCCCAAAGCCCAAATACAAAACATACAACCTCACCCTCTCAACCCAACCCACAAGAACAAATAAAGAATGGCAGTACATTAAGACAAAACAAGAGCAAAAGCACTCTACCCTATATGTAAAACCAGAAGTCTTTGATAGTCTTCTTTCAAAAAATTCACAAGGTTACATGGAGCATTTTGCAAGGAGCTATAGATGCAAACAAAGAAATCAGCACATCTATTCCCCTCTTTAAGAACCTGAGAGAATTTAATGTGCATAGTGGAGATCATTCTTTTAATCTCACGCTAAATATAAGTGATACTCCATGGTAGGGTGTTTTTCCAAGAAGGATGTCAACTAGACATTTGTTGTCACTTTCCACCTCAACCACCATTATTCCTTGATTGAGACAAATTAAGCCTAAGACCATCACAAAGAGCTAAAAATTCCACAATGATTGAGACAAACCCTACTTTTAGTTTGGATTGGCTCAAGTTGGATTTGGGTTAGCCTTTATCATACTTTTTAACCCAAAACAACTTAGGATTAATTGGGATGAGGTCCCTAACAAAAACTTGCTTTGGGTTTAGATTGGCTCAGTCGATTGGTTTTTGGGTTGGTCTGATTTCTATACTTCGGTTCTTATTTTCTGGGCTTAATGATTAAGGTCAATCAAGTTTTAACATTCATCATTATCATCATCCATGCCTTATTCCAACCATATGAGAATGGTTACATTAATCCTGTTTTGCCACTCCATTTATTTAAATTCATATCCACTGTTAGACTATTAGTGCTTAAACATTTCTTTCTATACCCATGTTCTTTTCGGTCTACTCTTAGCTTTTCTAGTCTCTTCAACTATTATAACAAATCACGTCTTCTAACCAGTGATGTTGATGGTATTCCACACATATGATCAAACCATCTTAGTTTACTTTCTTTCATTCTATCATTTATTGGAGCTACTCATGCAAGGATAGCCATTGGCTTATCCTTTTTAGTTTTCCACTCAATTATCTTAGCATTCGCATTTCTATTTGACATTATTATATACAAATGGACATAATTATCATGCTTTAAAAAGTTTTGCCTTTAAACTTAAATTTGTTAACATGCATATACTTGCATGTATGCATGCATATATACATGCATAAATACATATGTAGACATAAGAACTTACATAGATACATGTTTATATGATATTTGTACATACAAATTTGAAATTAAGTTGGGTTGGCCAAGAACCCAACCCAACCCAAAGAAGAAAAAGAAAATCCTAGTAGAACCCCAAAGTGAAGTGGGGCTGATCATACTTTTCAGCCCTAACTCTAATCTAAACTTCAACCTGACCCAACACAACTTGACTTTTATGGATTTGATTCAGGTCGACGCAAGTTTCAGTCCAATAATAAATGGATGAAATGAACAAATTATCAATAAAAAATCCTTATGGTTTTGTACAAACTAAGCTACTTGAATTCCCTTGTGCTGTGTTTGGACTGCTAGCAGAATAGAGAGGCTAGTTCGACAAATCTCTAGATTCCATATTATTTTGTGTGTCCAATTCTAGATGGGCATATATAACATTTAGCAAAACATGAACTTTAATTAGGGTGTTTTTGCCAAATATCCTAGAGTATTCATTGTTTTAAGAAGCTACTCTTTGATGGAGTAATGAATAGATTTTTTCAATCATATCTACACAAAGCATGAGAAGAGAGTGAAATAATTAACAAGTGTAAAGAATATTAACAACAGCTTCCAATGTAGGAAACAACATCCCTTTTCCGAAACCAACCGGACATAATGGGTGGGTAGAGCCGTAGAAGGTGGTGACAACTGAGAGAGAAGTTCATAATTGATTCAAGCTTGAAGGCTTCTCTATTCCTTTTTTTTTTAATCCTCATCAATAGCACGAAACCATGTGGAAGGTGGAGAATGCATTCTGAATTCCTTCCAGAGAGTACGTATTTTCTTGAGTGGAATTGGGTCATATTTGCACTTAACATGGCTGGTGCTGTTTGAATTTACAGCCTGAGGGCAGGTCTTAGTAGCTAAATAATTGGAACTCGCCTACCCTCTTCCTCTGTTGATGGGGACAATCTTGCAATTATTGTAGGCAAAGATACGTAATAAACTTGTTTTCCCTTATACTTCCACGTGAAAGAATTACAGGGGCAATAATTTAACCCATATATCTGCCATGAAATCATTCAAACTGGCCACGTGGACAATTTCTTTTGTGCAGGTCAGCCGTGTAACTCATTATGTATTGTACCCTCTTAACTTGCAGTGGCGGCCCACCCACCTACCCCTCTTCTTTAGAGAGAAGAAAAAAAAAGAGAGACACCTGAGGTGGTCGCTTCCTGCTGGTCTGGTTACTCCGTCCCATAACCACCTTGGCTTCCATTTGTGCAGATAAAAAATAAAGAAAGAAATCTTGACAAAAATGAGGCCAACTAATATGGGTAATGAATGCTTACGTGGCAATTACTCAGACTTTCAAACGCCAGCTAAGTAGATGACTCATCAAACCTTATCAAAATCATCCTTACTATCTCCATCTTTGACAAGTTGGTTTCAAATTGTTCTGTCACTTGCTTGTACTAAATGAAATGGGGCACTTCAATCTTTAATATATACACGGATATTAAGTGAAAAAGTGATATGATCTTCACACAACAACGCACTTCCAAGCTTAATAATGAACCACGCCCAATTCCAACGTGGAAGACACCAAGGGAAAAGAAGCTCTATCTTTCATGGCTCATGGGTTTGGATTGGTTATCCAAACCCGGTCTAGAGTTGGACCCGGTTGAGAATGGCTCTAAGTCTCTAACCCTACTTGAAATTTGAAATGAGGACTCGGCTTTGGTCGGTATTTTCATGAAATATGAATAGCGTGCTCCATTGTTATCGGTGAGAATATCGAGTTTAGGAGGCCTAGACTAGTAGTGACTCTAGTCTAGATACAGGTCGGAATCTTTTATCTTTTATTTATGTAAAAGAAGAAGAAGAAAAAAAAGAGAGAGAAAGAGAAATTGTCTAGCCTAGCATAAGTATTGCATGGAATGATCAAGTACGATATAATATCATAATGAGTACACTACTACACACGAGTGATCCATAACATGAGCTCATGATGATTGATGAGATGGATCAGCTTAATACAAAGGTACGGGGGGTCCCACAGTCTATCAATCTGATTGAAATTGAACGGGAAGGTATGATACGTGGACATTGATTTAGTTATTTATACATCATTATTACATTAATTAATTACTCCCATGATTCCTAATTATTATGAAAGAAATCTGTAATCTTTCAGTTTCTGCACGTGGGAAGGGGGGAAATATCGAAACAGAGAGAGGGGAGCTGCTGGCCGCTGGCCGGTGCACCCAGATCCATGCAGGCGACATGTGCCCGGCACGCGCCGTAAGACACGCGTGTATGCGGTTCCGCACCTCGGCCGGAAAGAGACTAACCATGTGGGTCACCAACACCCACCAGGGGTGACCAGACCCAGAAAGACGGAAAGATTCTCGGATTTCCGGGACGAGATTTCGGGGATTTTTGCTGCACCGTTTACGGTGCAGTGCCCCGACTCGGATTTTGAAAGATTGGCTAGCTAGTATTATTAGTAGTTATTTAGTACTATTTGTAGCAACTTATCGCCGATATGGTATATATTAAGTTCGGACACGTCGTTGGGCGTACCGGCCGATATATAGTAATTATTTTATTATTGCTTTAGACCTTTAGTCATTTAAGTTCGAAAGATCCCTGGTTGGACTTTCGCTTTTGTCCGCGACACGTTGTAATAACTACTAACTGATGGAGTTAATTCGTTACTGAACCGTAAGATCTGAATCCATGTGGTATCGGTGGGCCCTCTGCTTCTTCCTCAGTTTCATTTATTGATTTCTGATTTCTTCGCCGATACAAATCGGGCACGCTTTGTTATAAATTTCACAATTCTCAATTCACATGCATGCACTCGCAATATTCTGGTGGAGAAAAGCAAAATAAAGGAAAATACTTTACTTGTTTACAAGATTGCCTGTAAGTCATAGCTAAACCATGGATGACCACAAGATTGGAATCGTAGGCCAGTGGTTAATGCTTTAATGGGTCCACAGTTAGAGAGTTCCCCTACGACCATGGAGAGGATAGCTCCTAACATGCGCTGGGTGGTTAGGACAGCGGAGAGGGCTTGGTTGGAATTTGGCAAGTTTCTATAAGTACCAGACGGAAGCTTGGAAAGTGAGAGTTCATAAAGCAGAGAGAGAGAGAGAGAGAGAGTATTCTATGAATGTACCGGTGAAGTTGCAGGATTTGGAGTTCCGTGTCGGGGGCCGGGGGAGTAGTTGATTTATAGAGGGTTTTGAAGAGGTTTTTCTAAGGTTGGAGGGGGAGACAATTCTTTTCTGCTGCGTTGAAGAGTTCTAGTGATATCATTCTCCATAAGACAGAGATCAGAGAGGGGGAAGATCTTTGGATTTCTTTCTGTCTTATACTAGTAAACAACCAGCAGCCACTCTAGCAGTGCACGAATCTTCAAGAGTTATAATGGGTATGTGACATTTATTCTTCTCGTTTCACGTACTCTCTTTTAATTTGCGATTTTGGTGATGTATTTTCATGAGCCTGTAGTCTGATTCTGGTTTCGGCTAATTGCCTTCGTTTTATCTATCGTGACATATTTTATTCTCAATTCATCTGTCTATTTATGCACAATATTGGGCTTCTGTAGTTTTCTCGTTTCCCTACTTTTCGATTTCAGGTAAAAGGATTGTTCATTTATGTGGTCTCTCTGCATTTAATTCATAGTTTTTTTTGCTGACGAGCCTGTCTGTTTTCTGGTTTGTGTGTTTTTAATTACCGGTTCTCTTCACGGTCTTGAATAGTTCTCTTCCTCTTTTTCACTTTTATTGTCCCCTTCTTTGCTGGGTCTCGAGTCTTGGAAACTGATTGGTTCCGGGAACTGTTCTTCTATGGTGGTTAGGCTCCTTTTGTCGTGTCTTGATTGGCGTTCTTGGTACCGTGCGTTCTATCTTGTATACTTTTCTACTGGTTTTTGAGTTTTTCTATATTGTTTCTGATTGGCGAGTTTTTTGCTTCCAACAAGTCTTTCTATTCGTGGCTGTAGAACTAGAACATTCAACATTTTGTTTCGACTGGTTTGCTTTCTATTCCTTCCTTTTTTTCATTTTATTACAAAATAAAATATATGAATTGGTTACTCATTTGGTGGGAATTCCAGCTCGTTGCTTCTGATTGGTGGTTTTGGGTCATGTGTTTCTATGACTTTTTCTATGTTTTTATTTATCAATTATGACTTTTTTTTCCTTTTTTTTTTCTCTTTTGCTTTTTAATAATTAATAATTAATAATGGGGGGTCTTTTTCATTTTCTCTTATTCATTGGTTCGTTTGCATCTTGGGTTCTGTCTGATTTCCTCAAATTTCTTTCGTTCAGGGGCCGATATGAACTCTTCGTGGGATATGGATGATGAATATGAGAAATTTGTTCGAAGGATGAATCCACCCAGGTAAGTGATTCTAGAAAGCCGCTTCTAACGAACTAAAATAATCCCGGCATTTGCTCATAATTGTTTTCTTTTTCTGTTTCTCCGTTGCAGAGTTGTAATTGATAACGAAACATGCAAAAACGCAACAGTTATACGGGTATGACTTGTTTTCCTTCATTCTTATGGATTTGGCAGGTAACACTTTCCCTGGCTTTTTTTTCTTTTGTTCCTGATAATTTGGTGTTTTCTTGGGTTTCATGATGAAGGTGGACAGTGCGAACAAACATGGAATACTTCTGGAGGTTGTGCAGGTGCTCACAGATCTGAACCTTATTATTACTAAAGCTTATATATCTTCTGATGGAGGATGGTTCATGGATGGTAAGCTTTCTTCTGGTACCACATGCACGTTTTTCCTCTTTTTTTTTTCTTGATTCCTTTCTGTTATTGTTGAAAATAACCTGGTGGAGCTGTCACCAGTTTTTAATGTTACTGATCGAGAAGGGAACAAGCTTAAAGATGAAGGGATTCTGGAATATATTCGTAAAGTGAGTCGTTTTGGCTAATAAGTTTACTTTATCTGTGCTTTATCAAACATACCGATCTAATCTTAGCCTTTCTCTTCAGTCTCTTGGGGCAGATTCCTCCTTTGTACCCACGTTGGGAAGAAATGTGGGGGTTGAGCAATCAACCAACCACACATCAATTGAGTTAACTGGCACCGACAGACCTGGACTGCTGTCTGAAGTGTGTGCTGTTCTCACTGGCCTGAAATGCAATGTAGTAAATGCAGAGGTTTGGACCCACAATACGCGGGCTGCAGCTGTGATGCATGTAACTGATGAGGAGACTGGTTCTGCAATTACTGACCCGGAGAGCCTGTCTAAGATTAAGGCATTGCTCTGTAATGTACTGAAGGGTAACAATAAAACCAGGGGGGCCAAGACTGCAGTTTCTCTTGGGGTGACCCACACTGAGAGAAGGCTTCACCAGATGATGTTTGCCGATCGGGATTATGAACGGTTAGATGATCATGCCTTTGATGAGAAGCAAAGGCCTAATGTCACTGTTGTCAATTGGTATGACAAGGATTATTCAGTTGTCACAATTCGGTGCAAGGATAGGCCAAAGCTTCTCTTTGACACAGTCTGCACCTTGACTGATATGCAATATGTGGTTTTCCATGCAAATGTTGATGCAGAACAACCAGAAGCTTATCAGGTATCTGATACTCTCATAGGGTCATGGTTTTGCCCATATATAGTTACATATCAAGCTGCAAATAGTGTTTGGATGTGCAATGTATTGGAATTTTACAAACATCTAATAATTTATAGTTAGCCTGAAAACATTATCTCTGTTTTCCTTTTCAGGAATTCTATATCAGGCATATTGATGGGTCCCCTGTAAATTCAGAAGCAGAGAGACAAAGAGTAATCCAATGTCTTGAAGCAGCCATTGAAAGAAGAGTATCTGAGGTTAGAGATATTATTTGTTATTATTGTTTGATTTTTTTAGCTGTTTAATCCAAATATATTGGCCAACCAAAACTTGAGGCCTAAACTAGATAAGAATCTGTTCATATTTTTCTGTATTGAAAATATACCATATATCAAAAGCTAGGGTGCCGAGTGCCCAGGCATCTACATTACTGACATACTTGTATAAAATTATACTGGATAAGAAATGGACGAAATATCCAACCGTATGATTAGAAACTCATAAATCCCATCCATTTTAGTTTTGCTCTAGAGAATTTGTAAATATTGTTACCTCAAAGATAGATTTTTATGAACTGCACTGTATTATAGATCACAGATGACAGAACTGGAGTTGATTGTATTTTCGTAGATATCTCTGGCAATAGAGTTTTGGGAAATTAGGGTCTCATTTCCTTATTTTCAATTCCTATATTATGGATCCACCCTCCTAGTGGCTTTATGGGCGTCTTGGATGCTTTTCTGCTTTCATTGGTCTGATTAGGTGGACAAGTATAAGGGAGTGGATGAAAAGATTTTGGCATTTGGATGAAATGATAAGCTAGTATCAGACATTGATTTACATATTAGTTACATATAATGAGTAATTAACCTACGTAAGATTGTCCTTGCTATGAAGGATAGAAACTGAGATTACCTCACAATCAACTGAAAAAGAAAACCATCTAGAGGCAATGTATCAAATTCGTGAGAATGCCAAAATACTTGGAGTTATAGCCCTTTCTATGAAGAAAAAGGCTACAGCTGACGGTTATGCAATGCAGCTACACCTTGGTTTTCAAAATGTCTTTTAGGTAAATGTCCCATGGTTGTTTTCTCTGAATTTTCTTCTCACAGGGATTGAAGCTGGAGCTCTGCACAACTGACAGAGTTGGATTGCTATCAGATGTCACTCGAATCTTCCGAGAGAATGGCTTGGCAGTCACAAGGGCAGAAGTGACAACCAGAGCAGGGAAGGCCATCAATACCTTCTATGTTCGTGATGCAGCAGGAAATCCCGTTGATGCCAAGACAATTGATTCAATCAGACAAGTGATTGGCCAGACAATTCTCCAAGTGAGAGGCTGCTCCGAGAACACGAAATCTTCTTCGCAGGAATCCCCGACCAGGTTCCTCTTTGGTGGTCTCTTCAAGTCCAGGTCTCTCTGCAATTTTGGTCTTGTTAGATCCTATTCTTGAGTTCCAGACTTCCAGTCTTGAGGTTCCCAAGGCTTGCACTCGGGTTTCCTAGTTATAACTTGTAACCATGTACATACATCCCTGCTTCACTGGAAACTCTTCCATGGATTGCTGTTCCCCTGTTATGGAACATGCCATTGGAAGATAGAGATGCAGAAGTCAAGTTTTTGCCAAATAGGGAAAAGAAGAAATACAGTGACATAGTGGAGCACCTGTAAATTCGTTCTACTCAATTCCCATGTTCTGCCCATTTGTTAAGGAGGGAGGGATTCAACCCCCATTTAACCAGGAGAGCATAAGAATTAAAACTAGAACAAAGAAGGAAATGTATAGGAAATACTCAGATATAAATTGAAGAATGATCTCAATGACTAGTGTGTACGAATGTAAAATTTTCCTCCCAACATATGGGTGCAACCTTTGTAAATAATATAGATCCATTTTTTTTTACTATTATTATTGCATTTGCTTGGATCATATTAATATCTTCTGAAGCTTCTACTTAACAATCCTTGGTGGCAGTGACAACTGTCTCTGAGTGTCATGGAGTAAGATGTCTCCTGCCTCCACCCACAGCTGTACTTACTACCACAACCACACTAATTAATAATTGACTATCATTGTCATAATCCAAAATGGTAGTGAGAGGCAGAGAGCAATGGAAGGAGAGGCCATCACAACTTAGGTTGCTCAGATCTTCAACCTGAGTCAGATTATCATAATCATTTAAGCTTCATCCCCACTATATGGGGTCGGCAGTTGACTACAGGAAACCTGCTTCGTGATATCAATTGTTGAATTATGAGCACTTAAATTATTTCTTACTACTTGGACCAAAGGTTGCAAGGTATCAATGTGTTTCAACCAATACATATCGATCTTTGAATGCATGGATATGTCAAATATTAAGAGTTTGGGTAAAGCCCTATTTTCAATCAGTAATCCTCTCCAAGTTTTCTCTCTTTCAAAAGCCTGAAACTTCAAAAGTATAAATAAAAATATCGCCCCCTTTAAATTTGTTGAGTATCAGAAGTATTGACGATACCTAATTTAAACCTTGCTTCAACCGGTCAACCCCATGCCCTTTTAGGTCTGCTTCTAGCCCCTTCAATTCTAGTTGTAATTGTAACTCAAGCTGACTCAGAACCTAACCTAGTATAAATCTAAGCCCAACTTGAATAAGGAATCTTCGACCGTAAGGCTACAAGCTAAGCTGAGAACTAGAAGTTGACCCCTACTGTCATCCGTTGATGGGCGGTTCAATTGCTCCACCGACGACGATAATTTTCTCCCCTTTCCGCCCTTCTTTCCGCAAGGCTTTTAACATCAGTCGTCAGATGGGAGACGGATCCAATAAATAAATAAATAAAAGGATGCGTGTTTGATTGATGCACTTGGGCTTCCCTAACTCAAACTGTTTATGAGCTATGGATGCTTTGATCACGGATGCAGGACAAAGTTGGGAGTTAATGAGTGGGAGCTGAAAAGCTGAAATATATATAATGAGAATTTGAATTCCTCTTTGCCTCCTCTAGTTCCTTTATTTGCATTGGTCCAAACTGGGAAGATCTCTCTAGATTTGGGAGACAGCAAGGGAGTCTCTTGCTCTATCCCTGGGAAAGGCTAGCTAGTTACATCTTGTTGACGTGAAAGAAGGCTTCCGTTGCCCGTTGAAAACCAAAACCAACAAAAAAAAAAAAAAAAACACAGCAAAAATACGAACTTCAAAGCTGGAGACAAAGCAAAGTGCATGCCTTTCAAACATGTCCTTGTTATCTTATCCAGAGGCCAGAGCTAATGAATGGGGTCGGTGAGGTTACCCATCTGATTGATACCATCGTTTTTGGTTGGCGTGTATTTGAGATTGGATTGGTGGGGTTTCACCACATGTATGTCTTTTACTCTCTCTACACATGGACATGGCACCACCACAATCACAATCACAAAGATGTTAAGTTTTGTTAATTAGTCATTAATCAGTTTGGACACCTTCGCCCAGCTATGGGCACAAAACAAAGACATGGGAAGAAACTATATTGAAAAAACCAAGTGGCCTTACATTACTCATAATAAGGCATAAGTTATTTACAAAGTTCATGTATGTAATTGGCTTATTTTACTGAAACTTGTTAAGCTGAAGAAGGGTCCTATCTAATCCACCATAAAGTTTGAGGTAGGAGGAGCAATTTCTGCTTATTATCAAAATATAATGTCATTTCATGACTCCTCAGCAAAATGAACAATTTTAATTTAACAACCCCAAATGATCTACAATCATGGATGGGTAGGTGGTATTTGTAGTTTACCAAAACAAAAAAGATAAAAAGTCCAACAATGACGCAATTATGAGATGGTCATTTGGCACCCCTCCAAATAAGCTAGAGACAAAAATGTATTAAACCCGTGGAACTGCAGAGACTCTTTAAGGCATGCATGGCCAGTGGGCCCCCTGCACCACCCCTAAGGCCCTCATTCCCTTCTAAATGTGTTTGTATGCCAAAAATAAACAAATAAGAGAGGTTCACCTTATTCTATGTGCATTTAGGAATTTCTCCAAATAACCGAACTTATTTCTGCCACATGGAGGGATCTTATGACATCTAGGGGATCCATTGGACTACAGTCCAAAACCTCTAGTCATACTGTCTTCTCTCTCTGCCAACCACAATGTTTCAATATAGTGTTTTGCTACTGAAGCTTCAGCAATAAATCTATATGCTTGGACAGAAAGGATTTTGGGATTCTTTTTGAACTCCAAACTAATTAAGCATTTGTAAGTTTGTTTGGTACTTAGAATACAAATAAATTTGCATTGATGCAAAACTATGGTAATATAAATGATTTGAGTGTAAATTTTGAATTATTTTTGTTCCAAAATTTTGTTTATTTTGTTTCACTGCAATACAAATGAAGTAAATTAAGACATGAAAATAGAATAAAGTAAAACCCAAAACAAAATTAAATAAGAATTTGCATTTTTTCTTTTACAGTTCCATATAATTGTGCTAGTGCAAATAAAATTGTACTTCAACCAAAGGCTGTACTAGCAGACCCAAACACTTAAGATCATGCATTTAAAACATCTTTATACCTATATTTTTTCCATTCATGGAGAGATGCATCAAATACACAGCTGTAGGTGTTGTGAGGACGGTGTGAATACAAATTTTGTGAGGACTGAATCCAAATTTATTCCTGGAGGGATCTTATGGTCAATCCAGATTGTCCATTAGATGAGATCCACTGAATTGGCCATGCATACAATCCTTCAACAAAACACCCTTGCTTGCATTACTGTCAGAGGGACATTACCTAATGACTATTTTGACCGTCCGGGTCTTGGAAGACAGAGGATCACTTGGGAATACCGGCGTGCGGGCCGAGGTAAATAACCAATCACGAGTGAACAAGCCAATGTTCTATACACATGAAACCAGTGGGCCAGAGATTTTACCATTCTACCAAGTTATAGTGGCCTTTGCTCCACCTTACATTGACGTTTTCCCCGGTCAATATCAACAGTTCAGAGTTATAGTTCTTTAATACATTTGTTTTGCCACTCCAATCTCCTACCCACGAACTGTTCCCACATCCATTCCCACCTAAACACCACTGGCTTGTATTGGAAACATTTTTCCATGAATGACAGTGAGATACTTTCAATGTACACCTGTAATGTCCTGATGTCAGAATATTTATACGTAGGGGATCCGAGCTCTTGTTTTGTACATCTGGCAAAGTATTTTGACTGTTGATAGAAATTGTATCCATGAATAGAAGGTGTAGACTGTAGAGAGAAACTATGGCTTATGGGGCTCCTTTAGACTTTGAACTGCAGTAATATATATCCACCATGAAGATATGCTAAAAGGCTGAGTTCAGAAGACAGATGGAAAATGTACTATTAAATGTGATACCCCTTTGGAGGATAATATTGTAAAATAAAGTGAGTATATTAATTAATGAGGTGATATTTAATGTAATCAATAAATGTATTAATAAATTGGATGGGCAAGATTGTCAACAAAATTAAAATTATTTTTTTTTCTCTCTTAGATAATTAGGTAAATATGGTGTAGAGTAAGCTGATACAGGAGAGAGTTTGAACTTTGAACTTCAGAGCTGTCCCTGAGTATATGGAGTGCGGGAAACGTGCTCAGAAATGATGGCATATCAACGTTACAGCTTCGCTTGGACCAGTCAACAGTCAACATCGTGAGATTGAAATTCTAAGCCCTATTTTATTTAGAACCTAGTTTTCTTTAATCCCCCAAGTACTGCCGTCCAATCTCATGTCAGTGTTTTGTTTTTTATGCTGGCTGATAGAGTTTGAAGTTCAAAATATCATGATAGTTTGATAGAGGGTGTATTGTACTGGTATTTGAAGGTATAGGCATGTGACATGGGTGGAAAGGTCCATAATTTGATCCATTATTGATCTAAAAATAATTTATGTCAAAAATGGTTTTTTTTAAGTAAAAAATAAAAATAATTTATTTTATATATTCTAAATTATTTTAATTGGTAAGAGAGAACTATAAGATCAATGATCTATTGATGTATCGACAATTTGATATGTCTTGTAATGAATTTTCAGTAGATTTGGAAGTTCTAACACTGTTTGATGTATTGTTACACAATGAGGTATCCCTTTCCATCTCCCTAACACACTCCAAACCCTACTGGTAGGGTGATTTGAGCTTAGGTCTCTGCTACAACAAGTTAGATACCCTAACTTTAGATTTAGGATCCATTTGGTTAATAGTTGGAATCGGAATCAAAGATGGAATTGAAATCCCTTGAAATTGGAATCAGAATGGTTTATTCATATAGACTATTTGGTTCAGATAGGAATGAGAATGGAAATGGGAATCAAGAGGAATGAGATTTCATTCCTAAGGGAGGGGCAGGGAATGGCCATTCCCTCAAATGGGGGAATGCCATTCCAGCAGGAATGGGATTTCGATTCTGCCCAGCCAAACGGTTGGAATCAAAATAGCCCATTCTGATTTCGATTCCAGACCCCTATTCCTGCGAACCAAACGGGGCCTTAATGTTATGACATATGTATGGATTTAGAGTGTCCTTAATGTATCCAAATGCATTCATATCTTTCTACCATATCCATGCATAACCGGCAAAATAACCAATATCACATCTATATCTAATCTACCCAATATGATATAGAATACTGATATTTTGAACCTTAGGCCGTGTTTGGTTGCAGCGCAATTTTATTTGCACTAGTACAAAGGCATGGAAGTGCAAATGAAAAAAATACAAATTCTCGTTTAATTATATTTTGGGTTTTACTTTATTATACTTCATGTCTTAATTTACTTTATTTGTAGTGCAATCAAACAAAACAAAACAAATTAAAATTTGAAACAAAAATAGATCAAAATTTACATTCAAATCATTTGCATTGTCATTGTTTTGCATCAGTGCAAA